TTTCGATATTCAATGTTATCACTGTCAGTCTGAGAGCAGGGATAAGTAGGAATTGACGATGTTTGTGCTATTTTACCAATTAGTACAGCGAAAGAAATACGATATTTCATACTTTTACTGTTAGAGTTCATTCTTGTCTCTACATGTTGTGATATCGAGACTTGGTGACCTCATGACGTAGATCGTCTTGATCACTGATGACAGTCTGTATAGGAAAATTTACTTAATCTATTGGTGGCATAATTTGATGTGTACATTTTCACCATTTGTGTACCCATGAGGGTCCATGAGCAGTGAGTCCAATGAGGATGTCAGGGGGGGTTGGTAACCCTGCCATTTTGGAAAGACCTGATTTACTGGCATATTTTTGTCATAATATATATCTATTAATAAAATTAATCAAACATGTTGTACCTCATGATCAATCAAATGTTTTCATAAASATTAGAAAAAAACGTAAACAAAACAGCTCACAAATGAACGTGTAATTCAGACAGACAGAGAGAATGTATATATGGTAAAAATTTCTCGATCTGCACCTAAGCATGTTCTTGATACATTTTATTTCTTTTTGCAAAAAAACAGTATTGCAGTCTATTGCAACATGTCTTGCAATACATATTGTGATATTCTTTTTATATACAGCCTTTTGCAAAAATTATGAGAATTGTCGAAATATCTAAATATCATAATATCGAGTGCATGATGAGTAATCCCGCGCGATGCCCTTAGTCCCTTGTCTTTGTAGTTAATTTTTTTTTCGGCGACAGACTTATCCGTAGTTCTGAACATTTTCTCGATGTCAACAATGAATTATTCTAGCAAACCCGTGTGTTCCGGACAATATATTGATATGGATATTATGATATTTAGATATTTAGACAATTCTCATAATTTTTGCAAAAGGCTGTATGCTAGCATGAGCTTATACCTCCCAAAACTTATTTTGCGGGTGTAAATCCCAGATCTTTTTAAGCAATTTGAGCATTATTTAAGTCCTGCTATTAAAAACTGGCAAAACCTGATGCATTTCACAGTTWACTGGATCTGATATTCACCATATTCTAGGCAGATAAAATGGAATTAAGGTTATAGGGTATAGRATTGAGACAAATTGAATGGGATGAAATGTTAAAAGAAAACTGGGAATTAGAAGGGATTAATTGATGTCTTCAATAAAATATGAAAAAAATCAATTCAAAATTAGTGTTCATATGAAACAGTCAATTTGTTTTAATCAATCAATCAATAATTAGCTAAAGACAATGGAAAATCACTGCCATGACCAAGAGATTTTTTCCTATTTTAGCATATGTTGGAATTCGATAACCATTGCGGCCTGCAGTTTTAAATGCCACTAAAAGTCTCCTGCTCATATTTTATACACCAGTACACAGTAGTGAACATTTTGGTGAATTAAACCAGTTGCTCCCTCATATTTTAGAAATTAYGTAAATTATAGTAGCCAAACAAAAATGAAAAGGTCCTGAAGGATTCTAGTCTTACAATACAAAGCATGTCTGAAGTACATTCCATTTTGCAAACGCAATAATAATGATGACATCAAATATTAATGGATGTTCCTTACCCTCATATTACATACCAGACCCCATGCTCACATGATATCAACTGAGCAACCTGGTGAGGACAAGAAGTGGATACAACCATTGTGTGAAAACAGTAACCTTGACATCTGCAAACCAAGTSCAAAGGCAATCAACTTACAAGAATTACTTAACTATGTGACATCCCACCAGTCTATTATCAACAGGGGGTGGGTTGTGTTCAGTGTGTTTCAAACATAATGTAAAAAATGTATAGGCACCTGAAATTAAAAGAAAAAAAATAAAGATTGGAAATAGATAAATAAAAATCGTGCTCACTCTTTGTTTCTTCGGCAAAAATTGCTTACTTAATAAGTATTAACAGTTGAAAAATGTGACCCCGCCCCTGTCAAAACATCGCCCCCTCTTCTTGTTGATAATTTAGTGAACAGTCTATAAACACTACAGCGGGCTAAAAGTGTTTCCTAATTCATCTACGTCTAGAACCTCATAGCCATGTCCTCCGTACGTCTTCAGTAGCTTACCGTCTTGCCGGTGAGGGTTCCATAACTTGACGAGCTTGTCGCTACCACATGTCATGCAATAATTCTCATCAGAATTAAACCTTACTGAGCGAACAGGACCTTGGTGACCTACAAACCAGCTTCCTTACAGGGTAGATTAGCGCCCATATTCACCGAGATATAGACTAGAATACAGGCATAATAACCAAATGTTTTGGAATATCTGTCCAGAAACAAACTCATTCATTTTAGAAATGATAACCGCTGGGTAGATCACTGGCTCAATGTTGAACACAGGAAGCCCGATAAATACTTTCCTAGAATTGTAGGTCTCATGCACTCTACTTGTAACTTTGTGAGGAAAAACCGGCCAATTCAAAACAAACAATGAGAACGTCTCTTGCAAGGATTTGCTCAATGTAGTTGGTATTAAGTCGATCCCAGAAGACCATCAAAGAAAATAATAATCACTTGTAGCTGCCTGGTACTTTTTTCATAAATATATTTAATTACTAAAAGTTCAGCAGTACAAAATGAATTATATAATTATCTATTACCTATATTTTTGTAATCTTTATACATATATCAAAAATAKATTATATATTAATGAAAATGTGTACATTAATTGATATTTTTTAAGACAATACTATACTTTCTCCATCGAAATATTTCATTTAAAATATTTGAAAATTTGGAATCATTTGAACACAGCAACCACAGCGAAGGATAGAGAGTTTGAATTTGTTTCGGAATTTAAGATTTTTCTCAGGAAGGGTCAACAAAAGATACTTTTACAAAGTCATGTGAGAGTACACCGTTTTTGGTGTTCCTCTGGACCTGGACTTGATAACAATGAATGTATTGTTGGTGAACTAAGAAGGAGAGACCGACATGGTTGGTGACGTCATACGTTCTCCTCGACTATCATGACGTATTTCATGACGTACAGAACACGGCATCCACTCCTCGCAGTCCTGAAAAAGATCAATAATCACATTATTCAATCATTCCCAATTTCAGATACTTCGTACTAAAAGGGCCATGTTCTACGGACTTCATTTCAAACATGACAACGTTTTGTCAAGAACTTGTACATAACAATACAAGAACTGCGTACGGTCTGAAATATGAACATGCGCAATTACACACACAGATCTTCCTTACCCCTTCCGTTGTCTCTTTTTCCCAGAGAGAAATACCTCCTTCAGCACTTAATGTACCCGCACAGCTAAAGATTATTGGCCCATCTACCTCCCTAAACAACAAAAAGGAGAAGTATTCGACCATTATGTACTTGAAATCTCGCAATTATGCTTTCAGTTCAGTAGTATAACATGAAGAGTTCCGACCAAGTAAAACAATGCCGTGAAGTATGGGTAACGTCGTAACTAAATGCGCACCCCAATTACTTCTGAAGATAATACTCGCTCCACGACATGGAATTCGATAACATTTTCTCCCTCGAATCGCAAATCCAAACAATTGGAATCCGGAATACGACACAATTAATGGAAATGGAATCCGATAAAACAAGAGGATTCCGGAACCCAAAATTCTTATTTATAAACAAGTCAATGACATCAAAAAAAGCTAGCACATTTTTCATTCTGAACCCCAAGTAATGGTCCAGATTCCGCGTCATGTTACGATTGGGGAACAAGATCTGCGACGAAAGAAAGAGATAGAGCAGGGTAAATAAACATGATCAATGGCGACTGGGCAGCTGGGATACCATTTGCAGAACCATTCTTATGCACCTCATAAAGTGAAGACACCATGTTGTATTACCTCAAGACAATGAGAGATCTTATCGCTTCTTCGCTGACTCTGTACTGGACTCTCATCTTCATAGAAAATCGTCTTTCATAGTCAATCCTTTCCGAGCTGTCTTTTCCTTCGGTGGATGTTTCATTCTCGTTGTCGGAGTGACTTTCATCATCAATTATGCATTCTAGCGCTGATTCTAATGATAAAATCAGTCTATATCAGGACAAGCAATTTTAATTAAAAAAAAATATAAAAAAAATAAAAAAATTAATTTAATTAATTAAAAAAATTAATTTAATTAATTTTAATTTTCATTAAAATGAATCAAGACTTCAATCAATCCAAATATCAATGAGAAACTCCATCAATCAACAAATCAATCGATCAAAAACATCAACAGAGATTCAATTAGTCAGTTACTCATATATCTATCAATAAATTCAACTAATAAATCAATCTCTCCTCAGGTGATCTACAACATAGATAACATTAACATGCTCCATTCTTCGAACAAGAGTATTCTGGCCATACCCCAATAAACCAGGAGCCTCAGTCAATCATTGCCAGTGTTTCGCTTATAACAATATTCAGTCTGATCTTTCTCAACACAATGTGATACGATACTCACCATAAGACTCATTTAAGTGATCCTTGATTGTATCCGAACTATCCTCCTTACTGTCCTCCTTGGATCCCACTTGAATATCAAAGATTAATACTTGACCGTTCCCCAATCCTACCCACAATTCATCATTGAATGGTAACACTGTTGTTACACGTGATTCTTGGAAGGGTGAAACAGTGACCTGAATTACAAGAAAAAGAAATCATACAAGATAAAGGACGACCAAACATGCTTATACCATTATTAAAATAAATTCTTTTTAGGTGGCCTTCAAACTCCATCCAACAACATCCAATACCATCAAAAAAAGTAACAAAAAACACCTTCAAACTCCATCCAACATGTTTAATGTTCCATGCAACAACATCCAAATACCATCAACCAAAGTGACCAAACACCTTCAAACTCCATCCAACATGTTAAATGTTCCATGCAACAACATCCAACACCATCAACCAAAGTGACCAAACACCTTCAAACTCCATCCAACATGTTTAATGTTCCATGGAACAACATCCAA